TTTTCCATTGGGACGGAACCTTGCATTCAGACAGGTAGTGAGTGAAGAGCCGAGCCAGTGTATTGATGAGCACTGACGGCAGGTTCTTCAGGTGTTCAGGTCTGACCTTGTCTGGGCCGGGTGCTGTTTGTTTCTTTACCGACGAAATTATCGTCGTCGTCGGTAATTTATAATTAAATAGTCAATAAATAAATGTTAAAATAATTAAATTAAGTTATCAACTATTAAATAATTTAAAAATAAAAGTAATTGCATGTGCCATATTAGGACTACGCTACATCACTATGATTTGTAGAAGTTGAAGATACTGTATCAGCTCCCTTGTAGGATTTTGGAAATAAATTGCTCTCTATCAATAAATGACATTCACAGAGACTTGGAAGCAGGTCTGAGAGAGGGACTCTCATTCTCTGATGTTGTCTTTGAAAAGAAAGTTCATGAAATTCCATAATCAGTCTTTTCCTTTCTTCCTTCTTCCTTCCTTCCTTCCTTCCTTCCTTCCTTCCTTCCTTCCTTCCTTCCTTCCTTCTCTGATGCTTACTGGGGGTTCAGTGAACCTGAAAACCTCCTTGTAGGTTCAAGGAGTCTGAGAGCCAATACTCTGTGCAACCTCTTACTCTTTCTTTTAACTTTTTGGTTTTGGGATCACACCCAATGGTGTGTATTTTCATGCAAGACAAGTACTAAATTCCATTCTTTTCTGTCTCCTATGTGCTGGAGCGATAGCACAGCCGGTAGGGCATTTGCCTTGCATGCAGCCAACATGGCCGACCCGAGTTCGATTCCTCTGCCCCTCTTGGAGAGCCTGGCAAGCTACCCAGAGTATCTCGCCCGCATGGCAAAGCCTGGCAAGCTACCCATGACATATTCGATATGCCAAACACAGTAACACGTCTCATAATGTTACTGGGCTGTTTGAGGAATATCGATGAACAACAGGAGGACAGTGACAGTCTGTCTCCTCTGGGCCTTTTCTTAGATTAGCTAATATTGTAAATGATCTCCTAATAGATTGCAAAGTGATGTGCATTTATATCCCTGGCTGATGAATTGGTGGAAACCATAGATTTGAAGAGGCATCCTTTACAGAAGTAAAGGTTGAGGCCAGAGAAAAAGTTTCATTATGTTATTAATACAAAGAGGATATGACAGCAAAGGGAAGGTAAGACTCTCTGTGAACGAGACTCACCTAAAGGGACAGGTGGTCCTGACACCATGCCTTTAAAGGAAGGGATCAGTGCAGACATGCAATTGGGCCAGGGGGGTTACAAAATCTGTATGCATGGATCCTAGGGGGTTTGAAGGCAGGAGAAGTAGCCCCTCCACCCTGCAAAGGGACCACCATGCAGGAACTCTCAGAATCTCCAGGGCTGTGTGCGGGCTCCCTGGTCACCTGACTGAGCTCCCATCTTACGTGGTTGAGACCCCTTCATTTAACCTTACTACTAAGAAAAACGGATGCTTATTGTGCTTTAATGTCCACTCTACCAAATAAATAATAGTGTCATTATATGCAAATGACTTGGGTTATAAAATTACAAACCTCTAAAGGAGAAGGTGAACATCGTTGAGATCCATACCTTATCTTATAACCTTCCCAAATAATGTCACTGGCAAATAAAACACTTTGTTCTATAGGATCCTTTATATTTTTTTCTAGTTTTGCTACTAATGAGTTTATTTTTCCTTTTCTGAAAAACACAGTTTCCTTTTCTGAAGTGAATTGACAGCTTAAGTTTTCTTATAAATCTTAGATAGCAGCAGGTGAGAAATACATTTGAATTTTAAGGCTGTGCTTTTGAGTTAACCATTCTTACCTACATTCTATAAAGCATGTAATTATTTTTCCTGTTTTAGTGTGACTAATTTTGTAGCATTTGCCATTATATTAATGTAGGCATTAATAGATTAATATAACTCCGAAAAACCTAAAAATATAAAAGGATAGATTTGAGCACATTTGTTTCATTTTTATAATTCATTTGGGTTCCGTTCATTCATATCTCATGAATGAATTTGAAAATATCCAGATGTCTGTAAGGACATAATATTAGAAAGCAGTCTGTTATCCTAAAAGTTTGAATCAGTTGAGGCTAGATATTCAATCAACTAGAAATATCCTATTTGTAATTTTTCCAGTAATTGGAAAGTACAAAATGATACTTGAGTTTAATGTCGAAAAGTACTGCTGACCAGAAATGTGATGTTTTACGAGTAATTACCAGAATGAGTCACCGTTCCGGATGGTGAATTGAATTGATTTTTTTTTCAGACCCTTAAAGAATTACTTTGTTCTTTTCGACTTATCTGAAAACCTTCAATAAAGAATTAGTGCTGAAGATACATAAATCTCTAAGACAATGGTACATGGGGCTGGAATGATAGTACAGCAGGTAGGGCTCTTGCCTTGCACACAGACTACCCAGATAGGATCCCAGGTAGCTCATATAATCCCTCTGCCAGGAACAATCCCTGAGAAAAGACCCAGGAGGATACTCAGAATACAGCCAGGAATGCCCCAGCCCTGGCCAGAAAAAGACAATGATCGGTGCAGAAACTATTCCTTTGTCATTTTTCAATATATAATTTAAAAAAAAAATTTGGGATTAGAGGTATACTTGTCCTGCCTTTTAAACTGTATTGAGATGTCAAGAGTAATTTAAGGTGAAAATATGTTACACAGTTTGGACATACCAATTGCAATAGATACATAATAACAGACAACAATGTTTCCTGCTGTTTTTGAAATTTTATAAATATGCCTGAACGAATCATAGATCTAGGAAACCCATACCAGTTTCATATCTTCTCATCCCAGCCTTCAGATCACTTTTCTACCATGGATCTCCTTAGGGACTAAATATTTCTCATGATAAAACTATCGCTAAGCATAGGCACAGAGATAGGAAAGGAGGAAGCACTTTATTAGTGAGACTGGTGGAAAGCATAACAAAATGCACCGTTAGTCTTTATCTTTATAACTCTATTATTTATTTTATATGAACTAAAATATGCTTCTTTCATACTTTGTTCAAAACAGTCCTGTAATGTCTGCATTGCTGTTGCTATTGATTATTTATCAATTAGAAACTCAGCAGCTGCTAAAACGTTTCCTCTTTAAGGGCTCCTTAGTTGCATATCCTGGAAGCAAGTGCCTCATTGGGGAGGATTTTTCATTTACTGCTCAAACCTAGACGGTAGGCAATATGTTACCCACTCTGAAATATTGAAAAATAGATAGATTCTCTCCCAAAGGAGCTTGCTAGAAGTGTTTTGAGGTGATTTCAAAACAGCAAACACAATAAAAAAATGCTAATGTTCTTCAATAATTTTTCCTAATTTCACTTGTGTGATAGTGTTGGGAATTCCAAGAAGTGGGGATATAGAATCCACATATATATATTCTCCATACAGTTGAATATGCAGATAATTCAGTCTTCTTGATCATATTCACGAGGCTGTAGCGTTTCCGAATTGTATGACTTGGTTATTAAACTTTTGGATTTCAACTTTCTTTTATCAAGGTAGGGATAATACCAGATAATATCATAATCCACACCCAGGGGTATTTTTTGAAAATTGATAAGTAATTTATTCAAATAATTTAGGACAATGCTTTGACTATATCACTGAATGTTGAATATTTTAATTTTATTACAAATATTAACTGATATATCACTTTTCATCACTGATAATTAAAATTTACATAAAAGCTGTATTAATTACTAAATATTGTTTTAATGCTTATTTAAAAACCAAGCACAATGAATACTTAAATGTTTCTCTTAAACGTATTCTATAGGGAAGCATCCCAGAAATCCAGTAAAACTCCTGACATCTTATACCATTATGCGTGGTATATTTTACCATTTAATTCTGTGTCAAATTTGATTTTCACAATACTTCTTTTTTAAAAAAACCTACAGATTATTTTTTTACTAGTTTTTTTTTCCAAACCGATCTTATTACTTCAAAACAGTAAGTGTCCATACTCTTTCTAATCTTTTTAGTACAAAAATTCAAATATTTGTGTTTTATTTTTATTATATTTTAAACTGTGGCCAGTACGTGGGGGAAAAAACTGTGCATTAAGTTATAAACATGGGTACTTTCTAAAAGATATTTATCTGTGTTTCAATTTGAAAGACAATTTAAAAATAATGTTGATTCAAAGTATGAATTTTTCCATTTAGTTTCAGAATGACTTGTGAGGGAATTTCTATCTTCTAAATTTGATGTATGAGAAGCTTGAGGCTTTTACAGAATATTTTGTTCAGTGCAACACAGTAGACAGTGTAAGAACTGAAACAAATTTATCTAATGTCAAAGCTCAAAATGTCAATTTAAAATAATCTCAAGTAACACATAACTGATTTTTTTTATTTTTATGTCTCCATTTTCTTAAGCCTCTCTCTTCTTTAACTAATCTTAAATACAAATATAATCATATTTAAATTTTATAGAAAGCAGCAATAAAACATTTGAGCTTTTTCTGGTATCATTTCTTAATGGAAAAATTCTTTTATTCCTAATAGAAATGTTAATGCAAAGTGCTTTCTATAATTTTTCCAAGAATCAACTTTTTCAAACAAGCAAAAATACTTGTCCCTTACTCTGACTACTATCCTATTTTTCTACTACAATCCTTTGTTGCATATTGAAACATAACATGCATCTAGAAAAGGGCCAATCAGAGACATCTCTAAGATTCATAGATGACAACCAGGAAAGAGCAAATGTTCTCTTTGAGACAGCTGAACTGAAAACATTGGGATTCGAACCCTGAGACAAGAGAAGGACCAGTGTAAATGGTGGGTACAACTGACCTAGATGGGGATGGAATCAGAAAACTACATTTCACTAATGAATATTGCCTTATGCAGACATTGCAGAGTTGAGCTATAATATGTTATTATTCCCTTAAGCATATATATGTATGTTTATCTAAGAGCAGTAAATGTGTTAGAGTGCCCCATACCATGGAAAGTGAGCATATCCTCATACTTACCTGGCAGGGGAGAGAGATGCCGTGATCACAAAGGTAATTTCCCCAGGATGAGCCTTCTCCGTTGACTCCAGATGTGCTGATTTCTGGGATTTACCCAAATGTAGGAAACTCATCTGCATATTTTGTGGTAGTGGGGAACTGCTTTCACTCTCTTTCCTTAAAAAAAAGACACTTCTTGCAACACATTTATAATATAAGAATCACTTACATTAAGCGATTAAGCCATTAACACAATTTCTAGGTAAGCCAGGAAGAGACAAGATGTGGTTAGAATCTGGATGAAAGTTTGACACCAGGAAATCACAAGGCTGACCTTCCTTGGCAGTTTCTTACATATCTTCTCCCCTTATAAATTTCTTCCATGCACATACCTAGAAATTTGTGTGAAAATGAAACTACACTCTCTAGAGTATATCTACACTCTGACCCTGAAGTATGTTCTCTAGTTTTTTTTTTTTTAATAAACTTGTCTTACTCAGACATATTACTTTCTTCAGGTTAGGTTATACCTGTTCTCTGATTTTTGCTGGGATCCTTTTAACAAACTATGTTCTGTACTTTATTTCTCCAACTCGCTTTTGAATGGTTTCCTCTAACAAAATTAAGCACCTAAACTCCTGGGACAAGGCTAACAGATTTAGCCCTTATTGGACTTTCTCTACAATAAAGCTATTGTCAGTTGTCACACCTGGTGAGAGTCTACAGGAAATAAGGACGGTGAAGCTAAGAAGAGTCAGGTGATAAAGCTTAGCCCCCATTGCCTGCACTGCTGGCTACAGCTCATCTTTGGAGACCAGGGGGAGGAGAACTTTGAAAACACACAGCCCCATCGCTCTCTGTGAAGATGCTGAGCTCACTGGAGGGCAGAGCTGAAATGCAGGTTCCATCCTGAACTCTGCTCGTCCTTACAGCTCGTCCTGAGGCCCTTCCTTTTCTCAGTCCTAATAGCTGCTGACTAGGGTTGGAGCGATAGCACAGCGGGTAAGGTGTTTGCCTTGCACGGGGCCGACCTGGTCAGCCCAGGTTCGATTCTTCCGCCCCTCTCTGAGAGCCTGGCAAGCTACCCAGAGTATCTCGCCCACACGGCAAAGCCTGGCAAGCTACCCGTGTTCGATATGCCAAACACAGTAACAACAAAGTCTCACGATGGAGACGTTACTGGGCCTGCTCGAGAAAATGGATGAACAACGGGAGGACAGTGACAGTGACCCAAATAGCTGCTGACTAGACAGACCTACTCAGGGTGCTGAGTCTTGTTGCCATACAGGAGAAAACAGTCTTTCTGGGTCCTTTCAAGGCATGCATTATATAATCTTTGGGGCAGCCAAGGGAAGGCACCAGCGACTCTCTTCTTGCCACCTGGGTTGGGTGGTCTCGGGCCGCGCCACCAGCAGGGCGGATGAAGGAAGAAATGAAGGTCAAGCCAGTTGATGATAAGATGCCATTTATTCCATTCTCCCCACGCTCCTGTCCCAGTCTCACTAAGCACCCCCCCCCCCCCCATTCTTGTCTCACACTGCCCCTCATTCCTGTCTTCTCCTGTCTCTCCGGCTCATCTCTCCACGCTCCATCTCACAGCCTGGGCTCTCTCTCCACGTGCCTGCTCCTGTATTCTTCTACATTCTTCTCCTTCTGACCCCCTCTTCGAGCTCCATCTTGCTACCCTGGTTTCTTTCTCATCTCTCTCCAACTTTCTCCACTCTTTCCAACTCCCCAGTGGTGGGGGGAGGGTAGATGCTACACCAGTTCAGTAGCAAAATTTACATAAGAAAACGCTTCCTTTGCTCACCAGAAAATACCACTTAAGGTGTTTTTCTCCTTTCCTCAGTCCAATAACTTAATTAGCATCTTAATTCTACTTCTTAATATTATTAGTTAGATTGTATGGATACAGTAAGAGGTAGATTGAGTTTATAGGATGGCTCTTCTGGGAACATCTCACCACAGACTCACTCAGACTACAGTGCCCAGGCCGGATTAATCCTTTCTAACCCTAGCAGGGTCTGAATCCAGTTATTGTTTTTTGACTCATGAGAGCATTTGTCCATGGCCATGGTCTTCACTTATAGTTAAGCATTATGGCACTTTGGTGAGGCCCATTTTGATGCCAGGGTAGCACATAGCTCACCACTTGCCCTGGGTCCATCTAGTCCCTTGTCAGGATCCTGCTTTGGGGTGCACTAGGAAGTAAGGGCAGCTGAGGCTTAAGTCAAGAGAACAGATGTCTAGGAGGTAAATATTGTTCAGAGTCAATTAACTCCCAAGTTAAGCACAGCATTAACTGTCTTTTTGTGTCCATACAAAAAGAACATTGCTCTGAATTAACTAGGCAAAGAACTTAAGGAGAAGAGAAAAGAAAATATTTACAAGTCAACAGACCACAAAGAAAGAGGTTACAAGTAACCACAGAGGAATGGGGGCACTGTGATGGGAGTTTCTTGATAAACCTAAACTCCTGTGGCAAGGCGGAAAGGACAAACCAGTGTTTATCCTAATTTTTATGAAAATTATTTTATTTCACCCTTCCTTTTTGGCTTTGGGCCACTCCTGGCTCAGGGCTTACTCCTATTTCTGCATTTAGGGTCACTTCATCAGGGACTTTAGGGAAGCACATTAGGTGCCTGGGATCAAACCCTCATCAGTCTCATGCACCCGCTCAAATAAATGGAAGATTAACAGGATGACAGTAATACAGTAATAGAGTAATACAGTTTTTGGCAAGCAGTAAATGCATTGTCGTAATTCTCACATTCCCAAGTGCAAAAAGCCCTGGAATAGAGGCATGTTGGAGTTTCATGTAGCAAATGCCTTTATATCTGTATCTATCTTTTGATTAAACATTTGTTTGGGTGGAAGATAGAGTAAGGCCTTATTATCTTTAAAGTATTTATTTGCTATAGCATGGGAAGCCTCTGGACCCCACCCTTACACTCTGAAGGCCTTGTCTCCTGTTCTTCCCTGATTTATCTCCTTCCAGAATGAATTAGCAGTGCCTGTAGGCCCTGACAGGTAGAGGAATGACTTATACCTTTCCTGGAAAGTTAGGCTTTCACATATGCCAAAATGGGTACTTTTCATGTAATTAAACTCCTTCAGTTCAGCCATAGGGGCTCTTAAGAGTCTAGAAACTCCTGGTACTAATCTCGGCCATTCTTGGGTGTTAGTCTCCTATTTTATTACTTTATGTTCCCCAGATGAATGCAATCTTTCTCTGTCTATCCCTCTCTTTCTGAGTCATTTCACTTAACATGATACTTTCCATGTAGTATCACTTGTATGTAAATTCCATGACTTCATCTTTTCTAACAGCTAAGCTTGGAAGCCAGTCACACATGCTAGGGGAAAAGGGAGCTCAGATAGAGAAGGGAGCACCAAATAAAGGGTGTTGGGAGGATTCTCCCAGGATGGGAGAAGCATGCTGAAAGTAGACTATAGACCAAACATGATTGCCACTCAATGCCTCTTTTGCAAACCACAACACCCGAAAGAGAGAGAGGAAAAAAGGGAATGCCCTGCCACAGAGGCAGGGTGGACTGGTGGGGGTGTTAGTGGGGGTGGGAAGGATACTGGGATCCGTGGTGGTGGTAAATGGGCACTGGTGGAGAGATGGGTATTTGATCATTGTATAATTGAAACCCAAGCACAAAAACTTGTAAGTCTACAACTGTACCTCATGGTGTCTCACTAATAAAAATTTTATATATATATATATATATATATATATATATATATATATATATATGAGTCTAGAGCCTCAGGTCTGATGGTCCTACTTTCGGATCAGTACAGGCTCCTCTAATTGGTCTTGGGTTACTGCTGGGGTAAAAGGAAGTTCTAGTCTAAAGTGACTTCATCCTGTTTATTGCAGTTTCCCAATGCCCAGCAGGCTGAGAATCCACTAACGTGACCAATATGGAGCAGGCGAGGTCACCTCTGGAGTAGCCTTCCCTGGGGGGGTCAGAGTGGGAACTCCAGCCTTCTCCTAAGGTCCACTGAAGGCCAGAGACAAGGACTACTGATGACACTGACCTCAGGTGACTCAAACACCTTGTGTCAGGAGAGGAAGCAGCAGAAGAGTTCCACAGGCCCAGGGAAGGCTTATTTCCATTGACTTCAACATTTTTGTTCTTTTGTGATTTTTTTCTAGAGAAAAATACATCCTCACTTCCTGCTCTGCACAAGGGAAAAATGGGTTGCACACAAGAATTGGGGGTCAAAGTCTGAAGGAGAGACACTGGAAGGAAAAAAATCTCTTCCTCTGTTGGGTGCAGAGTGGAGAGGGCGCAGAGCTCAGGAGAATGTGCTTTCTTTCCGAAACTCTGGCCTCTCATTGTTCTGCTCGTGAAAACCTCCAAAATGGTCCAACTTTGGGCTGGAGCGATAGCACAGCGGGTAGGGCGTTCGCCTTACAAGCGGCCAACATGGCCGACCCGAGTTCGATTCTTCCGCCCCTCTTGGAGAGCCCGGCAAGCTACCGAGAGTATTCGATATGCCAGACACAGTAACAACAAAGTCTCCAATGGAGACGTTACTGGGCCCGCTCGAGCAAATCGACGATCAACGGGAGGGCCTTTACCTTACCTTTACCTTGAGAGACAGAGAACAAAGGTGAACAGAGAGAGAGAGAGAGAGAGATGTTTTTCTGTTGTTCCTGCCGAGGAATACTTCTAGCTGTAGCACTGTCCTCCCATTGTTCATCCATTTGCACGAGCTGGCCCAATAACGTCTCAGTTGTGAGACTTGTTGTTACTGTGTTTGGCATATCAAATACATCACGGGTAGCTTGCCAGGCTTTGCCATGCAGGCGAGATACTCTGTGTAGCTTGCCAGGCTCTCCGAGATGGGTGAAGAAATCGAACTTTGGTCTATTTATGTTTTTATTTGGTTTGGGGGCCATGCCTAGTGGTTCTCAGGGCTTGCCCATTGCCCTGTGCTTAAGGGATCACTCCTGGTAGTACTCAGAGTGACTAGACACAGTATCTGGGATAGATCGGGGTCAACTATGTGCAGGTCAAGTGCATGAAGGCCTGCACTATTTCTCCAGACCTCTAGTTGTGTTCAATTTATATTTACACCTGCGCTACTTACAAATTAGTTAACATCGCTAGTTTGAGATATATTTAGATCATTGAGTTAAAATCTTCTGTAGGCTTAGAGAT